AAAATAATCTATGCACTAACTGTAAGTCGCTCTGGATAAGAGCGTCTGCTAAATGACTAAAATGTAAATGTAAACCATTTATGAATGTGTTATTCAATGCATTTCCATGGGCTATAGTAGTAAAGGCCAAATTCAATATTTTATTTTAAAAAACAAAAAAACATGTGATACCTACAATTCAAAATCAAATAGCTAAATTATCCATGGTATGACCATCTTAAAATAATTCCATATGTTAGCTTAGTATATTTACAGAGTTTAATGGCTGTGATGGGAGAAACCGGAGGATGGTTCAACAACATTGTAGTTACTCCACAATACTAACCTTAATGACAGAGTGAAAAGAAGGAAGCCTGTATAAAATAACAAATATTCCAAAACATGCATCCCGTTTGCCACATGGCACTAAAGTAATACTGTAAAAAATTGTGGAAAAGCAATTAACTTTTTGTCCTGAATACAAAGTGTTATGTTTGGGGCAAATCCAATACAACACATTATTGAGTACCACTCTCCATATTTTCAAGCATAGTGGTGGCTGCATCATGTTATTACATTTACATTTACGTCATTTAGCAGACGCTCTTATCCAGAGCGACTTACAAATTGGTGCATTCACCTTATAGCCAGTGGGATAACCACTTTACTATATCTTTTTTTCTTTTTTTTTCTTTGGGGTGGGGTAAGGGGGGGTAGAAGGATTACTTTATCCTATCCCAGTTATTCCTTAAAGAGGTGGGGTTTCAAGTGTCTCCGGAAGGTGGCAATGCCCTCGTTTGGGTGTAGGGACTGATCAGAGCCTGAAGGTACGGAGGTGCCGTTCCCCTCACAGCTCCGTCGGCAAGCACCATGGTCTTGTAGCAGATGCGAGCTTCAACTGGAAGCCAGTGGAGTGTGCGGAGGAGCGGGGTGACGTGAGAGAACTTGGGAAGGTTGAACACCAGACAGGCTGCGGCATTCTGGATGAGTTGTAGGGGTTTAATGGCACAGGCAGGGAGCCCAGCTAACAGCGAGTTGCAGTAATCCAGACGGGAGATGACAAGTGCCTGGATTAGGACCTGTGCCGCTTCCTGTGTAAGGCAGGGTCGTACTCTCCGAAAGTTGTAGAGCATGAACCTACAGGATCGGGTCACCGCCTTGATGTTAGCGGAGAACGACAGGGTGTTGTCCAGGGTCACGCCAAGGCTCTTCGCACTCTGGGAGGAGGACACAACGGAGTTGTCAACCGTGATGGCGAGATCATGGAACGGGCAGTCCTTCCCCGGGAGGAAGAGCAGCTCCGTCTTGCCGAGGTTCAGCTTGGGGTGGTGATCCGTCATCCACACAGATATGTCTGCCAGACATGCAGAGATGCGATTCGCCACCTGGTTATCAGAAGGGGGAAAGGAGAAGATTAGTTGTGTGTTGTCTGTGTAGCAATGATAGGAGAGGCCATGTGAGGATATGACAGAGCCAAGTGACTTGGTGTATAGCGAGAATAGGAGAGGGCCTAGAACTGAGCCCTGGGGGACACCAGTGGTGAGAGCACGTGGGGCGGAGACAGATTCTCGCCACGCCACTTGGTAGGAGCGACCGGTCAGGTAGGACGCAATCCAAGAGTGAGCCGCGCCGGAGATGCCCAACTCGGAGAGGGTGGAGAGGAGGATCTGATGGTTCACAGTATCAAAGGCAGCAGACAGGTTTAGAAGGACAAGAGCAGAGGAGAGAGAGTTAGCTTTAGCAGTGCGGAGAGCCTCCGTGACACAGAGATGAGCAGTCTCAGTTGAATGACCAGTCTTGAAACCTGACTGGTTTGGATCAAGAAAGTCATTCTGAGAGAGATAGCAAGAGAGTTGGCTAAAGACGGCATGCTCAAGAGTTTTGGAGAGAAAAGAAAGAAGGGATACTGGTCTGTAGTTGTTGACATCAGAGGGATCGAGTGTTGGTTTTTTGAGATGGGGTGCCTATGAGTATGCTTGTAATTGTTAAGGACTAGGGAGTTTTTCATGATAAAAAAGAAACGGAATAGAGCTAAGCACAGGCAAAATCCTAGAGGAAAACCTGGTTCAGTCTGCTTTCCACCAGACACTCGGAGATTAATTCACTTTTCAGCAGGACAATAACCTAAAACAGTGTTTCCCAACCCTGGTCCTCGAGTACCCCCAACAGTACACATTTTTATTTTAACCCTGGACAAGCACACCTGATTCAGCTTGTCAACTAATCATCAAGCCCTCAATGAGTTGAATGAAATTAGATTTTTCTGTATTTAATTTGTAAACATTCTAAACCATGTTTTCCCTTTGTCATTATGGGGTATTGTGTGTAGATGGGTGACATTTAAAAAAATATTTAATCCATTTTGAATTCAGGCTGTAACACAACAAAATGTGGAATAAGTCACTGGGTATGAATACTTTCTGAAGGCACTCTATTTAGCCATGGCACACATTCTGATTGGCCAGTGAAGAGTCAAGCCTCGACACACCTTCAACTTGTTTAGTCATCAAAACCCAGGTCTTTCGTGCAACCACCAGCTACTGCTCCCATAATTCTGATTGTGAAAACCCAACCTATAGCGCTACCGCCAGCGCTTAGTTTTACAGTATTTATTTGCGTTAGGTGTGTTAAAATAGAGCCCCTAGTGTCTGCATTTTTGTAATGTAGTACATTTTGGCCTGCACATTTGAGAATGCAACTACTCAGGGAAGCCATTTTGTGTAGCTAACTGTATTTATGTATTTGCGTCAGGTATAAATATGATTAAGAGAAACTGGCAAAAGAATTGGAGCTAAATGTCCACGGCTCTGCTAAATTAATAACACCCATTCTTTCACTGTCACCAGGCTTGCTTTCAAATATTTGTGTTCTTTCAAATACATTTCAAATACATTGCAGTCTATGTTGTGTCACATGATTAACAATTCTCATAATTACTTTATGCAGAAATTACCATTCTGCATCAACCACAAGTAGTTTGCTTTTTACATTTGTAAATGTGTGGGTAGGTGGGGTGTGGGTGGGGAGATGAGTGGAACAGTTGAGAGGAAAAGCACTCTGGCGTGTCCTTGGAAGCCAAACCTCCGTTGCTCCCCAGATGCCTTGGCAGAGTGGACTCATCGATATTTTGGTTTCTGCTCTGCTAATTCTGACATCCCATGGGTGGAATGCTTTCTAGTCTTCTAAGAATAAGTATTTTTTCCTCCTCTCAGGTATTGTTCTGCTTGACTACCCACAATGTACAAGCGCTAGCATTGACAGTTTGGTTAACTTTAAAAAAGCACTACACGTTCAATTGAAATAGGTATATATGTTTTGCAATATCCGAAGTATTCTCGATACATTTAAGAATAATGAATGTTGAATATTATAAAATTCTTCACAATACGTGCCTGTTCTACACAATTCCTTTTTCTGAACAAGAAATACCTTTATGGGCAGCATTCAGGTTGGTGCGTTCAGACGTGTTGTTTTCTAGTCCAAACCCAAGAGGTGAAGAATCACCAGGGAAACCAGAGGACATTTTCACACTCTCAGGCTGCAGCTAGTGTCGAAAAATGGAGGTGTTGGGGTACACCGAGTTAGTCATTCTTCCTCTTCTCTGAGAAAAATAAAACTGGTTTTCCTTATTCATCGGTGATGTTTTCACCTAGAGCTGTGAATAAAACACATTAGTATGCCACAGTTTTTGTCTGAAGGAAAGGCTTGGTATACTATAATACTGTATATGCATGACTCCTATCATGATAATACAGAACATGCCTTAACAGTGCCATCATTTATTGTTGATGTACATTAGCAAATTGTTCAATCTCAATGATCTTGTACATGATGGCAAAGATGGACAAAACAATATATTAAAATTCAATTTTTACCTGTAAAATACATTTGCTGAATACATGATCTAATATTATATTTTTGTATATACAATCTTCCATCTATTTAAGAAAATCTTTATTTTCAAATATGAATATGTATTGTATGGATATATATATTTTTAAATCTAAGGGATGCATTTTCAGTAGATAATGGCAAACATACAATACAGGACAATGTACCAACCCATTTGAAGTGAGAATGTAAGTGCCTTAGGGTTGAGTGTCCTGGGTTGAAAGAGGACAGGGACTGGCAGCATTTGTCTTGTGTTTGAGTGAAAGGCAGTACCTTCTAAAGAGGACAGAGAGAGACAGACGATCTGACAGTGTGGTGACACGAAGGGAAACAGAGGATGGAAGTCCGTGTTTTGTGTCACATGCAGCCACGGATTTTGTGCTAAAGAGGAGGTTGGATTCCAGAGTAATGTAGTCAGAATCAAATCAACATACAAAGGGAGATGACAACTTTTTGCTCTTTTTTTACGCAGAGTGGAAAGAGGAAAGAGATATAAATTGAATAATTTGAATGCATCATGAAAATGAAGAAATAGCACAGAAGGTGAACATGTATATCTTTTAAGACAATAGAGAAGGATGGAAGCAGATTAAAGAGTTTTCAAATCTGGGTAGAAGGAGAAGTTCATATAGTCAAGAAAATGTATTCGGTCAAGTGTTATCCTCTTGTAGGGATTTTAATGTATCTTCTCCCCTTTCAAGGTAAGTCACTTTTAAACTAAAGTGTTGTTGATATCCTTATGATCATTGTGATGCACACAAAGACATTGTACAAAGTACTTAACGTTTTAATTAATGTGGATTCCACTTTCAGTCTTGTGTTTAGTATACAGTTGATTTGCTGTATAACAATTTAAGAAATTATACTGCCACATATAGTTGGATGCATCTATTCTGTGAACAATGGATAGTGAACATTGTATGGACTGCTAATGACATTTTAAAGTTTAGACTACATTTGATCATCTAAATACAGTAAAATAATAAATATATAAGATATACTGGATTTGATGATAGCAGTATCCATAGTGAAGTATTTTTTTAAATTATTGGTCACACTTTGGGTTCCTCCTTTCCTCATACATGGAATCAGCATTTTAGTGTCCTGTTTAAAAGGTACATGTACTGCACATGGGTATATTTATAGAAAATTGCCCAATGTGGAAAACAACAGTAAAAATTTGGGAGCATTTGAGGTTAACCATGATTCTGTCCTCCACTTCCTCCTCATCCCCCTCCACTTCCTCCTCATCCCCCTCCCCTTCCTCATCATCCCCTCCCCCTCCACTTCCTCCTCATCCCCCTCCCCTTCCTCCTCATCCCCCTCCCCTTCCTCCCTCATCCCCCTCCCCTTCCTCCTCATCCCCCCTCCCCTTCCTCCTCATCCCCCTCCACTTCCTCCTCATCCCCCTCCCCTTCCTCCTCCCCCCTCCACTTCCTCCTCACCCCCCACTTCCTCCTCATCCCCCTCCACTTCCTCCTCATCCCTCTCCCCTTCCTCCTCATCCCCCTCCACTTCCTCCCTCATCCCCCTCCCCTTCCTCCTCATCCCCCTTCACTTCCTCCTCTCCCCCTCCCCTTCCTCCTCACCCCCCCACTTCCTCCTCATCCCCCTCCCCTTCCTCCTCATCCCCCCCTCCCCCTCCTCCTCATCCCCCTCCACTTCCTCCTCTCCCCCTCCCCCTTCCTCCTCATCCCCCTCCACTTCCTCCTCATCCCCTCCCCTTCCTCCTCATCCTCCTCCCCTTCCTCCTCATCCCCCTCCACTTCCTCCTCATCCCCCTCCCCTTCCTTCCCCTCTTCCTCCTCCTCCAGTGTGTAGCCACCCCAGGGCTCAGGCGGAGGACAGGCTACTGAAGACTCTGTTCAGCCATTACAACAAACTGGCACGCCCTGTGGCCAATGTCTCTGATGTGGTGCGTGTGCGCTTTGGGTTGTCCATTGCCCAGCTTATTGATGTGGTGAGAAGGAAATAAAACTTAAATACCTTTAAAGCCATGCATATGCCTGAGTGCCAAAAATGTTGATTTTAATTTACTTTGTGTTTGGAGAATTCTATGGGTCCGATTCAGTCGAATCTGCATTTCTGCATTTACACAGTAGCTCTTTTTCTTGAGATCAAATAAAATCAAAGAGTGGTTCTGGACTGTACTGTTTGAGTTACTTTGTAAACATGGCTATGACAGGATTGACTGAATACCAGCCTGTCTATGCAGATGATGCAATGAGTAGGTGCATACCATCATCTTCCATCTTTATACTGTTTGTCTTTTCTCAAAATCAGGATGAGAAAAATCAAATGATGATCACTAATGTCTGGGTGAAACAAGTGAGTCCAATCAAAATGACACAACGTTTTTGTGTCTGAATGATCTATTATATTTGTAGTGTTATTTGGTCAAACTGAGTTTTTATTGGTCTGTTTCCTCCAGGAGTGGAATGACTACAAGCTCTGCTGGAATCCTAAGGAATACGAGAATGTCACCTCCATGCACATCCCATCCCAGCTAATCTGGAGACCAGATATAGTTCTTTACAACAAGTATGTAATGTTGTAATGCTAAGAATGCATGCTAAGTATGTACTTTGAAACATCTCTTTAAATGTTCACCCATATTAAGAAATTACTTAGATGATTCCTTACCTTTAAAAGTAGTTTAATAGTTTCCTTCTGTGTTGTGTGTAAAGGATTGACTTCTGTCTGGATGGATTTTAGTTTTTATTTATATAAATAGAAAATAACAGGCATTAGTTTCATGTGTTTCAACTGCATCTGCACCTGATGAATAGTAGGGAAGAACCTACTAGTTTTTTTCCTAATTACTCAGAGATCAATAGAGCTAGAGACACCGTATTTCATGACAAACAACTTATATATCTCCTCTACCATTATCAACTGTAATTTCATTTCTAGGGTAAATGAGTTGAAATTAAATAGACCGAGAACAGAACTACCGCAACATTACTTTTGTACCTGCCGGCGGGGCGGGAGTAACACAGCCTTGGGAAGGAAGTAACAGCTGGCGAGAAGTGCACAATATCTGTCTTATCTCCATGTTTCTGGTTTGTAATGTTGGTTACTTTCAACATAATTTCATGTTTGTGTCGATTTGAATAATGAATACTCATAGGTTCAACATTTATGAAAGTGCAATGTTGCGCTACCACAATATTTTGCTTCACAATATTAATCGGACTAAAATGAATCATATACCACCTATATTAACCATCATTTTCTCATCTCACTTTAATTGGAATGTAGTAGATGTTTTTCACCATTTTCAATTATTCATGCTTAGCCCTACCAATCAGTTGTGCTCCAGCTGTCCTTGTCATGCGCGCTCCTCATGTCATTCTCTTCATGAATGGCAAACTCATCATGCTTATCACATTTCCATGGCTTGACAGAATTATAAAGATATACACAGTGTACAAAATATTAAGAACACCTCTCTACCCTCAATTCGTCCGGGCATGGACTGTACAAGGTGTCGAAAACGTTCCACAGGGATGCTTGCCCAGTTGGCTGGATGTCCTTTGGGTGGTGGACCATTCTTGAGACACATGGGAAACTGTTGAGCCTGAAAAAGCCATATCTCAGACGGCCCATCTTAATATTTTATTTTTATTGGCCAGTCTGAGATATGGCTTTTTCTTTGCAACTCTGCCTAGGTCAGCATCCTGGAGTCGCCTCTTCACTGTTGATGTTGAGACTGGTGTTTTGCGGGTATTATTTAATGAAGCTGCCAGTTGAGGACCTGTGAGGCGCCTGTTTCTCAAACTAGACACTCTAATATATTTGTCCTCTTGCTCAGTTGTGCACCGGGGCCTCTCACTCCTCTTTCTATTCTGGTTAGAGCCAGTTTGCGCTGTTCTGTGAAGGGAGTAGTACACAGCGTGGTACGAGATCTTCAGTTTCTTGGCAATTTCTCGCATGGAATAGCCTTCATTTCTCAGAACAAGAATAGACTGACGAGTTTCAGAAGAAAGTTATTTGTTTCTGGGTATTTTGAGCCTGTAATCAAACCCACAATTGCTGATGCTCCAGATCCTCAACTAGTCTCAAGAAGGCCAGTTTTATTGCTTATTTAATCAGCACAACAGTTTCCAGCTGTGCTAACATAATTGCAAAAGGGTTTTCTAATGATCAATTAACCTTTTAAAATGATAAACTTGGATTAGCAAACACAACGTGCCATTGGAACACAGGACTGATGGTTGCTGATAATGGGCCTTTGTATACCTATGTAGATATTCCATTAAAAATCAGCCGTTTCCAGCTACAATAGCCATTTACAACATTAACAATGTCTACACTGTATTTCTGATCAATTGTGTGTCATTTTAATGGACAATTTGTTTTATTTTCTTTCGAAAACAAGGACATTTCTAAGTGACCCCAAACATTTGAACAGTAGTGTATATTTTTAACCAATTACCTGATGATAAAAGCTTCTGTGAGAAGCTGATCCATCAAGTCAATTGATTAAGACATAATTCTAATGATTTCATATATAATTTTCAAACATTCAGTTACTTGTTGATATTTTGCTAACATCATAAAAGCAATATGAATTAAAGGAGACAATGGCCTGTGCTTAAACGTTTTATTTTATTTTATTCCAGGTCATCAGTTACTTTCGTCTCACCCGTCTCTCCTGTAACTTCTCCCAGGCTAACACCCAAACTAAACACAACTCTTCAACCGAAAAACACTTCAGGGTCCGTTTTTTTTACTTACATTGGTGAAACATGGTCAGGCTGTTTTTTTGCAGGGAGGTCATCCACCACATTAGGAACGTGCTGACTTCACTACTCATTCTAGCTTCTGTGTTATCTGAGAAAATGGGCACGTTACTTTCGCCCCTCCCCTAAAACAATATAACTCAGTGCCCATAGAGAACATGAATACTCGTTTCGTTTGACCAAAAGCAATAACAGCATAGTTATAATGCTAACATGCTGGTCTGTATAGCTAGCATAGAATGCTAAAAACAACACAGAGAGCTAGCAGCTTGTGCTCGGTGAACATTCCATTGTGATTGGGTACAAAGAGAAGGTTCTAAACAAACAGAATTCAGACTAAATGTAAGAATAAAGTTTACAAGCAACACATTTCACTTCTTTTTAGTGGATATATAATGATATTGTCACTCTTTTAATGACAGAATTAGCCGAGCAGAAACAACACATACCTTTTCACGGGGTCATCACTAGTTACCACACCTAGTCATAAACCCCGCCTATTTCCACAAAATCAGATTTTTAACCTTAACCATAATCTTAACCACACTGCTAACCTTACGCCTAACCCAACCTTAAATTAAGACCAAAAAGCACATTTTTGTTTTCGTGATTTTTTACGATATAGACTTTGTGTCTGTGGAAACCTTCTCACAGGAGCAGAAGGAAAGAGGAAGTAAAATGGGCAAGTTCACAGGAAATGGACCAAACCATTTTATAGTTCAAAGTTCATATTTTCTTATACCAACTCTGATGATCTTAGATGACAGATACAGATAGATTTTACTAATACACCAACATAGTAATGGCAACATAATAAGGCAATACCACAGTAGATAATTATTTCTGAAATAGAATAATCCCTAAAGTGACCTGATTGACCGAGTCCACTCTAAGATCATTCGGCCCAATCAGCGGAGCCAGTCAACAGTAGCGTTGTGTGGGTAAAATCACTGAGGAAGCCAAGCCAGGAAAAAATTCCATATTACAACCTGTGTTGTGATAATTGCGTTGTTTGCTCTTTAACCTGTTAGTTCATATGCCTTGCGACCATGATATATAGGCTTAAGGCCGAGACAATAAGAATACACAGTGGCAAAATAAATTCAACCACACCTTTATTTCATCACAAAACCAGAGAGCAACATCTGTCTGGTGAAGTCCACAAAGCATATTGCATGTAACAAACAGTTGCATAACCTACAGCATGGTCAAGCAAGTTAATGTTTCCGACATTTTCGGTCTACTAAACAACTATCGATTAGAGCCACGGAGAATTACCACAAGTCGCAAAGAACACAGGCCCTGCCTCCACTCTTCCAGCACCATTTCATCATCTAATCACCTATGCTTAGTCTAATACAGTGACTAAAAGACAGCAAAAACGATTTACTCTTATCCAGAGCGACTAGGGTTAGGTGCCTTGCTCAAGGGCACATCAACAGATTTTTCACCTAGTCGGCTCGGGGATTAGAACCAGCGACCTTTCAGTTACTGGCACTACGCTCTTAACCACTAAGCTACCTGCCGCCCTATTTAGTCCAATCAACTATTTAGTCCAATCAACGTTAACTAAATATGATGTGGCTGTCCATGGGACTGATTTCTGTGTGTGTGTGTGTGTGTGTGTGTGTGTGGCTGTGTGTGTGTGTGTGTGTGTGTGTGTGTGTGTGTGTGTGTGTGTGTGTGTGTGTGTGTGTGTGTGTGTGTGTGTGTGTGTGTGTGTGTGTGTGTGGCTGTGTGTGTGTGTGTGTGTGTGTGTGTGTATGCAAGTAGAAAAAACATGTTGACTTTTAGAGAAACGCCATCTTCCTCTTTCATGTTGCCTAAACGGTCAATGGCTGTAATACACGCTTTAAATGTTTGTTGTTCTAGGCTACCTGGCTAAAATGCTTGCTCACTAGCGTATCTTCCTTTCATGGGCAATGATGCGCCAGGCCAGCTAGTTTACGTTAACCTAATTTTACCACATCTAGCTACATGTTAAACTTCCATCCTCTCGGTGATACTGATCCAACCATAAATTCACAATGTATGAATTTATGGTTGGATCAGTATCACCGTTATAATATATTGGCCAGTACGGAGTATTAAGTAAGACCACGTGTCCGAATCCCTATCTCCATCCATGGCTAATTTAGGAAAGGGATGATTTTAGCTAGCTAGCTAGCCACCGGAGGACAACAACACAACGAGAAGCAACAATTAAAGTTTTCTGTCAATGACATTTGACGTCTAATGTGATGTGATTGGTGTGAAGCCAAATCCAAACTGCGCCAGGACCATTCACACCTGAGCTCACTCAGTTTAGCTCAACGCTGATTGGCTATTTTATCAAAAGAAATATCAAGGGAGGCCAAATGCTCACTGGCTTCCCTTGCAATCAATGGTACGTGCGGCAACAATGTCATACTCTTTTTGACCAGACATAGACGGGCTACACATACAGAAACAGAGGGGCGAGGTTTCATTCGTTTGGATGCTTTCTCCGGTGAGATACGTTCAGCCTCTTGCGAATTGAAGGACATGTATGAAACACAGAGAGACGAAAGATACATTATTTTGTATGTTTTTTTCATGGTCATTTTTTGTGTGAAGCCTGGCTTCCCTTGGCATCCATGAATACACGCCACTGAGAGTCAAAGTGTCGTACCCCTGGTATATCTACATAAAATATTTGTTTTGTTTATGTGGCGACCCCACTGCAATTCGACTTCACTAGGACATCTGCAATCCACACTTTATGCTTGTATATATAGCCACAGCCACAATTTTTATTTATTTATTTTATTTCACCTTTATTTAACCAGGTAAGCCAGTTGAGAACAAGTTCTCATTTACAACTGCGACCTGGCCAAGATAAAGCAAAGCAGTGCGATAAAAACAACAACACAGAGTTACATATGGGGTAAAAAAAAAAACATAAAGTCAAAAATACAACAGAAAATATATATAGACAGTGTGTGCAAATGTAGCAAGTTATGGAGGTAAGGCAATCTTATACCATTGATGACCAAAAAAAACCCAATGAGAGTGGAAGGGCAATTTCTCTTTATTGTCTAATCTGTCAGGCCATTCCTTAACATACAATCTAGCTCTATCATCCCTTCTTATCTCTAGTGCAGATGGTGATTTCTCCGTGACCCACCTGACCAAGGCCCACCTGTTCCACGATGGGCGCATCAAATGGGTTCCCCCAGCCATCTACAAGTCCTCCTGCAGCATCGACGTCACCTTCTTCCCTTTCGACCAGCAGAACTGCACCATGAAGTTTGGCTCGTGGACCTACGACCGCACCAAGATCGACCTAATCAGCATGGCAGGCAACGTGGACCAGATGGACTACTGGGAAAGCGGCGAGTGGGTGCTGGTGGACGCCGTGGGCAACTACAACATCAAGAAGTACGAGTGCTGCCACGAGGTCTACTCTGACATCACCTATTCCTTCATCATCCGGAGGCTACCTCTGTTCTACACTATTAATCTGATAATACCCTGTCTGCTCATCTCCTGCCTGACTGTCCTGGTGTTCTATCTGCCCTCCCAGTGTGGAGAGAAGATCACCCTGTGTATCTCTGTGTTGCTGTCTCTCACCGTCTTCCTCTTGCTTATTACCGAGATCATCCCGTCTACCTCGCTGGTCATCTCGCTCATCGGGGAGTACCTCCTCTTCACCATGATCTTCGTCACCCTGTCTATCAGCATCACCATCTTCGTGCTCAACGTGCACCACCGCTCGCAACGCACGGACACCATGCCCCGCTGGGTGCGCCGTGTCTTCCTGGATGTCGTCCCTGGCTTCCTGTTCATCCGGCGGCCCGCCGTGGTCAAGGACAACAGCAAGAAGCTGGCGGAGGCCATGCCAAAGAGGGCCACACTATTGGGTGGGCTGGAGGCCAGCTTTCCTCCCACTTCCCCCCTGGAGGTCCAGGAGATCCTGGCCCGCTCCCCTTCTCTTTCCCTGGGCCGACCCATGGAGGGTTCCCTGCCCCCCAAGCTTCCCCAGCAACAGCAGCAGCCCCTGGACAGATCCCCCAGCCAGTACTCCATCCTCCTGGAGGAGCCGACCGCCTCGTCGCAGCCAGGCTGCTCTCCCTCTCCCCCGTTCCTCCACCCTCTCTACCTGCCCAGGGACAAGCACCACGCGGCCTGGCCCAAGATGCGCTCCCTCAGCTTACAGTACGGCCTGGGGGAGAGGGAGCGCCCCCAGACCAGCGTCCGCTGTCGCTCGCGCAGCATCCAGTACTGCTCCCTGCATGAGGAGGCCTCCTCCATGGGTAACGGCATGCAGCGGCCTCTCTCTCAGCACCCGTCCCTGATGGAGGAGAGGAAGCAGAGCTGCTCAGCTGTCTGCAAGTATCACGCAGGCCTGTCCGAGGCAGCCAAAGCCATGACCAAGGACCAGCGGCTCCTCGCCTTATCCCCGTCCATGAAGATGGCCATGGAAGGTGTGCAGTACATCGCAGACCACCTCCGTTCGGAGGATATCGACTTCTCTGTAAGCAAGGGTCTCATCATTAACATGTAAACTGAGGAGGCAAGTCTATGGTTCCATCTGCTGGCCCCTTCAGTTTATCTACAGTGTTTGCACACTGAAAATATAGAAGATGGGGCGACATGGCACCCTCAATTTTAGCAATTTGTATGCTGAAGATGTAGAACATATTGTTTATTTTTACGCATCATTATTTCAAAGATATCAAAAAAAGTGCATGACACAAAACTCAATCGGGCTTTACAGTTAGGAATGCCAGTGGATAAGGGTCTTGGCATTTGCCACACAATGACATATATTTCAGAGTGCAATGATGTATACTGCATTTCAATGGTGGAAAACCTGAACCATAGGAACACAAATTATATCCATTTAAATATGTCAACAGTTGTTCATTCTGTGAAGTAATTAAAAACTGATTTCTGTCATCATTCAGGTGAAGCAGGAGTGGAAGTACGTGGCTATGGTCATAGACCGGATCTTTCTGTGGCTGTTCATCTTGGTGTGTATCCTGGGGACCCTGGGACTCTTCCTCCCTCCCTGGCTGGCTGGAATGATAGACCTATCTGTCTGACACAAAACACTGCTGAAGCCATTGACCCTATACACACTCTAGTTGTACAACTGATGAACAACTAATTTTGCACACAACTTTTTTCTGCACAAAATCGTTTTTCTGGAGACACTGCACAATGGTTGTGTAAACACTGTGTGCAGAAAATATCAGTTGTATGACAACCATTGTGTCAAATGCATTGTATATGGTCCCGTGTAGCTCAGTTGGTAGAGCATGGCGCTTGCAACGCCAGGGTTGTGGGTTCGATTCCCACGGGGGGCCAGTATGAGAAGTTATGCACTCACTAACTGTAAGTCGCTCTGGATAAGAGCGTCTGCTAAATGACTCAAATGTATATCAGTTATATCACAACCATTGTGTCTCACTGTATATCAGTTGTATCACAACCATTGTATATCAGTTGTATCACAACCATTGTGTCTCATTGTATATCAGTTGTTTAACCTGAGCGTCAACAGGGCCATGGTGGATGTGACCAATAGACAGGAAACCTTCTTATTAATTGTGAAAAGCATATTTGTAGATAAAAAGTGATACATAATTGTTTTGGCAATGCTTTATTTTCCAGAAGCCAGCAGGTGGAGCCATAGGTCTATAATGTGAAGGACTGAGCAGTTACATTGGGATTGTGGAAACATACAGGTAACTGCCAAAGTAATGAAAACAATTGAGTAAATTAGGTATACAAAGTACCATCAACAAAACACCAAGTGATGGAATTTCTCGTGGAAGAATGGTGTCGCATCCCTCCAATAGAGTTCCAGACACTTGTAGAATCTATGCCAAGGTGCATTGAAGCTGTTCTGGCTCGTGGTGGCCCATCGCCCTATTAAGACACTTTATGTTGGTGTTTCCTTTATTTTGGCAGTTACCTGTATCTCCACCTGATACTATGCAGGATTTCTGGGGAAACAATAGGAATATTAAGCAAATAAAGTTTTACAAAATTACATGTTTAAATACAGCTTTAATAATGCATTAGAACATAATTTATAACATAATATTTAGGTTACTTTAAAAACACAGAGACTTAGGCTAAGTTTACAAAGACAGCCCAATTCTAATCTTTTGCCCAATTATTGGCAAAAGATCTGATCTGATTGGTCAAAAGACCAATAATTGGGCAAAAGATCAGAATTGGGCTGCCTGTGTAAATGCAGCTAAAGTAGCCTAGATGGAACATATTTCGATATCCAAACAAGGAACCTTATTCTTTTAACAGAAGAGAACATAGAGTATAGTGGCTCCGTCCAGTAACGGTGGGTGAAAGGTAACTACATACCTTTGGACATTAGGTCTCAACAATATTCCTCAACTTCTTGCATTAAGTCGTTTCTACCTGAAACGTATCCCTATTCAACCCAGCTGTGCCCTACAGTATGTTCTGTAGGTGGTATTTTCCTAAAGCTGTGAGGTTTAATGTGCTCTTAAATCTTGTGTAATCGACACATTTCCACGTTGACCTGTTCAATTTCCCGTTTTTATCCTCTCTCTCTGTGCTGTAGTGATGTTGTTTTTTCACTTGCAAGAAAAATAAATACATTCTAATTCACAATGCAGAAGTTTTCACTCTCTTGTGAATGTTGTTGTGATTTCTTCAGGGTCACCTTACGATTGAAACATCTACCACAATCATTGTGTCAAATTAGCAATTGTGAAACATTTGTGCTTCAGTTTCTGTAATGGAAAAGATCTTTATGAAGAAATCCTCCAATTAAGGAAAAACCACCCAATTCTTGAAATTCTTCCACCGATGGCCTGTTAGCCTCTACAGGACTACTGGCAACCCCGAAAGACACTGAGGAGTTTGTAGTCTCGATTCCAAATGCTGGATAGAGGGGCTCAGTGAATGTGGTCTGGAATGTATAAAGGTGGGTCATTGTGTCAGAGGAGACCTCATAGAAGGAGACAGTTCCAGCAGGACAGTCCAGAAACACTCCTACTCTCTTGTTTTGCTCGGATAGCGTTGCGGGGGAGGTTATTTTAGTGGTTTCATTATTGTAGTCGGCAGAGTCATGGTACTTGGAGCAGGCTAGACACCAGGAATTGTCATTGGATCCAAGCTTACAGACACGACCATTTCCTTTTCTGCTGATTCCTTTATATGCCACTCCTATGACAGTCAAGTGCCCACTCCCCTCTGCCTCCCAGTAATGGCGCCCACTCAGACCCTCTGTACACAGCACCTGTGGACAGTCAAATCTCTCTGGGTGATCAGGATACGGCTGCTGCTCTCGAACCCCTGTCACCTGTCTGTTTTGTTGAGACAGAGATAGGAGTCTGCTTACTGTGTTTAGGTCTAGTATGGGCTCACAGGCATCTGTGGATGAAAAGAGAGGTCAGAGGAGGGGGAAATAAGCTGGATCAAACCAATGTGTCTGTGTGTTTATGTCACGGGTGGGATGTGAACTACCTCATCACTAAAGTGTCTTACCTCCACTACATTTACAGGAATAATGAATGTGTTCTTTTAGTACATTGACCAAAATAGATGACTTGTTAAAACAGACAAACAAACATACACTTCTTAAGCAGCTGTGGTTCTATCCAGATCTCTTCATTATGGTCCACACTGTGGCAGAGGAACAGACAGTGAGTGAGTGAGTGAGTGACAAGGAAACAAGTAAAGTGTTGCCATTGGAATTACTGAAAGGTCAGAATTCAATGTCGTGGTTCAAATAGGAGAGAAATATGCATACAAATGAGAAGATTGTCTCAGATTTACTGCACTAACTTGAGTTTACAATGGGCCTCCTCCAGTTTAGCAGAGAGCAGCTTCACTCCTGAGTCTCCTGGGTGATTGAAGCTCAGGTCCAGCTCTCTCAGGTGGGAGGGGTTTGACCTCAGAGCTGAAGCCAGAGCAGCACAGCCTTCCTCTGTGACTTTACAGAACGATAGCCTGCAGAGAAAAAAACATCAGGCTTTTACAACTTGACTGCGGCTATCGGGTGGTGAGAGCTGAAATATGAACCCTTCTTTTCAGAGATAGACTATTGTTAATGCATTTACATCTACATTTTGGTTATTTAGCAGACGCTCTTATCCAGAGCGACTTGCAGCCAGTGCATTCAAATAGGGAAAGACAACCACATATCACAGTCATTGTAAGTACAGCGTTTTCTTTTAAATCCACAACTTGAATCCCTCCACAGCCTCATAGAGGATCTAGATACATTTTCTAACCTCTCTGGATTACAACCAAATTATGATAAATGTATTATATTACGTATTGGATCACTAAAAAATACAAATTTTACATTACCTACAGTGGGGAGAACAAGTATTTGATACACTGCCGATTTTGCAGGTTTTCCTACTTACAAAGCATGTAGAGGTCTTGTTAGATTAATTTGGATTTTAAGAATAATGACTAAAGGGTTTCACCCCAAACACAGTATAAATGTTAGAATTATCATGTAGTGTCAACCCACTAACAGAGGGGGCGGTACTAACCATTCAAGGGGGAAGGTGGAAACTGTTTAGAAAAGTCACCTAAAGGTGGGAGGAGTCAAGTCCAGGAGGTATAAAATCGTCTGTTTGTGTCATTTGCAGGAGAGCTCTCGCCATGAATAAAAATACAGATAAGACTTGTGAGTTGTGGACCTTGAATTTTTGATGATTAAAACCAGAGCCTTACAACCTCTGGTAATGATTCAAGCTTGGGTTGAATTAGAGATAGAAATTCACATGACAGGTCTGTAATTTTTATCATAGGTACACTTCAACTGTGAGAGACGGAATCTAAAACAAAAATCCAGAAAATCACATTGTATGATTTTTAAGTAATTCATTTGCATTTTATTGCATGACATAAGTATTTGATCACCTACCAACCAGTAAGAATTCCGGCTCTCACAGACCTGTTAGTTTTTCTTTAAGAAGCCCTCCTGTTACCTGTATTAACTGCACCTGTTTGAACTCGTTACCTGTATAAAAGACACCTGTCCACACACTCAAACAGACTCCAACCTCTCCACAATGGCCAAGACCAGAGAGCTGTGTAAGGACATCAGGGATAAAAATGTAGACCTCCACAAGGCTGGGATGGGCTACAGGACAATAGGCAAGCAGCTTGGTGAGAAGGCAACAACTGTTGGCGCAATTATTAGAAAATGGAAGAAGTTCAAGATGACGGTCAATCACCCTCGGTCTGGGGCTCCATGCAAGATCTCACCTCGTGGGGCATCAATGATCATGAGGAAGGTGAGGGATCAGCCCAGAACTACACGGCAGGACCTGGTCAATGACCTGAAGAGAGCTGGGACCACAGTCTCAAAGAAAACCATTAGTAACACACTACGCCGTCATGGATTAAAATCCTGCAGCACACGCAAGGTCCCCCTGCTCAAGCCAGCGCATGTCCAGGCCCGTCTGAAGTTTGCCAATGACCATCTGGATGATCCAGGGGAGGAATGGGAGAAGGTCATGTGGTCTGATGAGACAAAAATAGAGCTTTTTGGTCTAAACTCCACTCGCCATGTTTGGAGGAAGAAGAAGGATGAGTACAACCCCAAGAACACCATCCCAACCGTGAAGCATGGAGGTGGAAACATCATTCTTTGGGGATGCTTTTCTGCAAAGGGGACAAGACGACTGCACCGTATTGAGGGGAGGATGGATGGGGCCATGTATCGCGAGATCTTGGCCAACAACCTCCTTCCCTCAGTAAGAGCATTGAAGATGGGTCGTGGCTGGGTCTTCCAGCATGACAACAACCCGAAACACACAGCCAGGGCACTAAGGAGTGGCTCCGTAAGAAGCATCTCAAGGTCCTGGAGTGGCCTAGCCAGTCTCCAGACCTGAACCCAATAGAAAATCTTTGGAGGGAGCTGAAAGTCTGTATTGCCCAGCGACAGCCCCGAAACCTGAAGGATCTGGAGAAGGTCTGTATGGAGGAGTGGGCCAAAATCCCTGCTGCAGTGTGTGCAAACCTGGTCAAGACCTACAGGAAACGTATGATCTCTGTAATTGCAAACAAAGGTTTCTGTACCAAATAT